GATTAATTTGGGTAGAATTGACATTTTGATTATAATAAAATCCTCTTAATGTGCCTAAAATGGAAAGATCTTGCTAGGGCACTAAAAAATTCATTTAAAATATTAGTGATTGAATGTAATAATAATAATAATAATTAGTTAATTAAACAGAAAAAAAATGACCAGTAAAAATGAATATATATACATAAACAAACCAAAAACTTCATTTTAAATACTTGGGAAAAAGGATCTCAGTTTGGGAAGAGTCGATCTCGGGAATTGATTCTCAGATTCACATGTTGCCTGAACAGAGGAAATGGGGAACATTGAGGCATATATTGAATGGGCAACATTATATAAGCTCCTTTTTAGAAACAACCTTCAAAAGGGAAAACCTCTTGATGATCAGTCTGAAAGGGTAGAACCTGGTTGATCTATCTTGGTCAACTCAGTTCAGCACAAGACATAGTCTGGCAGGGGACTAAAACAGAAGAAAGAAGCAGAGGTCATATTTTTTAAATATTATCTGATTTCTAAAATGTGTAGGCTCCCTGAATTTCATTCATTGGAGAAAAGTAGGTACTTTTGGCCCCCAAGGACCTTAGACTAAGAGGGTGACTAGCCTGGCTTTGTGACTTCACACTTTGGGGCCTCCATGGTGATGGTGGAGAACTGTGGGCGCTGGGTGTTCTCAATAATTAAGTTTCTCAAGAGTCAGGCAAAAGGCATTGCATTGTAAATTAGCCTCATATGCAGGACATTGCTTGTAATAGCTAACCTCTCTCTGGCATGGGGTGTGTAGAAACAAATGCTCAAGTCTTTATGATTTTCCATGTTGTCGGTCATGCAATCTTTTTTTTTTTTTTTTGAGAGGTTTTCGCTATAGGGCGCGTGCGCTTGCCAGACAGACAGAGAGAGACATAGAGACAGAAAGCGAGAAATCACCCCCCAGAGGGGATGGTCATGCCGCAATCTCTTCTCCTCCATTCTCCTCTCGGGATCTTGGGCACGCACGCACACATGCCCAGCGTGAGTTTCAAGCCACCGGGTCTGGGATGCGAACCACGGTCGACTACGTGGGAGTCCAGCAATATAGCCATTACGCTAACTGCTGGTTCCCAAATCTTGTAAGAATTTTCTACAGGCTAGTACATTTTAGTACTTACCCACAAGACTATTTTGCACCCAGAGAATCTAAAGTGCATATATACGAATACATAAATCAATATTCTATGCTTCTAGTTCTGTCTCCAAGATATTCAGAATCAAGTCAGTATTATACAGAGGACAGGAGGGAGAGATAAAGGATGGGAAAAGACAATAACAACACTGGCCTTATCACCAGTGCATTTGGAAAGAGACATTTAAAAGAACATCTATCAAAATAAAGACTTACTAGACAAGGAAGGGTAGCTTCACTCCCTCCCTTCTGTTTACACGCGCTATTGTTTTAGCCCATGATGTTTTGTTTACTTTGGAAAGAAATATTTTACCCCCTCTGAGATAATTAATTTTTGTCAGCTTCACTGTTTATAAGGGAAACTGAGAAACTGTTAATTGAAATACAGAATGAGTCACTGTTTTCAGTAATTTTTGGCAGCATTCTAATTTGTGTCAATCCCAGCCTAATTATTAGATTTTTTTGGAAATGGAAAGCATATTTTATTTTTCTCTTACTGAATATTTTCCTTTTTTTTTTTTTTCTATGTGCTGTCTGACAAAGGTTATATAATTTATGCTACCACAAGGGGAGACACCCATACATTTGAAATACCAAGGGGTTTATTGCGTCATGCTTGGATCCTCACAGCTCACAAAATGTGTCCTCTTCCTTTCTTCATGCCTCCCCCTAGCCCCAATTAGGAAATGTGATTCTTTTAAAGACCTTTCAGCGAGTATGAAGCCACAGTATATGGCCCGTCACTAACGACATCACCAAAGTAAATTTTCCAGAAGCCATCAGGGAGAATTCATTCGGAAATCCAATTGAATGGCACTTACAAAGGGCAGGATCCTTGAAGAGGTGGCCAGTCAGGCATCCTGAGCTGCTGGTTGTAAAAGCATTAATCACCATGAACTCATTTACTCCTCAAGGGAACACACTACATAATGCTCCAGGAATTTCATTCCCAATGATCATTTAATGACGAGAATGGGAGCTGCTGATTGTGGGCCAGTTAATAAAATCTGTCAGATCAATGGCTGGTATAATGGGCCTGTTAATGGTTCATCATAGAGGTTGGGTCTTCCTGGCTACCCCAGAGTGAAGGCAGGCAGAGAGGCAGATGGCTGTGCTGGGCAGAAGGCTCCATCTCTTGCCTCCCTAGGTGGCCTCTGGATGGAGAGAGAATTGATGTCTGTCACTGAGCATTGTCAGGGTTCCAAGGTGGCCTTGGTTGTGGCAGGGAGCGTAGGTACCACTTGTGGGCTAAGGAGAGAGTCACAGAAAGGCTGTGGGGCAGGGCCTGCTGCCATGCTGCAGTAGCTTGTATGGCACAGCTTCTTGAAGACCCCAGGCCAGGGTACCTCCAAGCACCTGCAGCTGTGGCTATCCCAGACCTTTGCTTTCAGCCCATCTGGGCCCACCAGTGAGATGAAGGCTGAGTCTCACTGATAATAATGACAATCACAGCTAATGCTCGCTGAAAGCTCTCAGGGGCTAAGGACAGAGTCCTTCACACACACTTCTCTCAGCCCTCATAGCAGCACCACTTAGGAGATATGCACTATTTATTATCCCCATTCAGCTCAGAAAGCTGGAGTTCAGAGCGATTTAAGAACTAGTCCAAGCTGAGATTCAAAGGTGTGTGCCTTGAACAGCATGCTCTTTTACTGGCGAGAGACTCAGAAGCTCCAGCCTAAAGTCAGGCCAAAGAAAGATGGGGGTGGCTGGATGGTAAAACACTTCTCTCCGAGAGGCTGGCCCACATGGGAAAGTCTGGGTTTATGTCCAGAGACATTCCCGAGTACACACAGCAGGCACACAGGTGCCATGATCCAGGACGGCTAGAGCTGGTGACCGAAACGTCAAGACCATGTTGGAGGTTTGTCTCTCTATCTCTTCCTCTCTGTCTCTCTCACTCATGAAACAACACAAAATTTTAAAAAAAAGAAAGACAAAAAGACACTAGGTATCATAGAGGGCCTGGAAGTCCTCCCATTTGGGAGTGCAACCAGTCAGCGTGTTCAGGACCAGCCTCGGGCTAATATGTACTGCTTTGGCTTGTCTGTAATTCTATTTCTCTGGGGTTTGTTACCTAACTGTGGGGAGGGGTACCCAGGACCCTTAAGATGCCCAGTAGCTCTGTACCACCTGACTTCAACCTTGACTGGGCCCTCCCCACCCAGTGACATCCTATACTGATGTCAAAGATTTGGTCCTTCTTACCCCACCCCTGCCTATCTGAGGAGCATCTTGATCTCCTGACTGTACCCTAGCTCCGTCAGCTGGCAAGGAAGAAGCTGCTGCTTCCTGAGGACCCCGTTGAGCACTAGCCTCATGTGAGTGACAGCAAAGGTTGCCAGGGCCCAGGGCATCACATCACTGGGCAGAGAGGTATTGGGGCATGCGTCTGATGAGGTGCCAACTCAGCTGCCTTGGGGCTCAGGAACAGGAGTGGGACAGAGCTTGAAGGTGAAGACTATGGTGCAAGAGGCCTCTAAGAGGTGAGGAAATTGGGGAGCAGAAATGAAGGAGAAATGAGAGTCTTAACTACAAAAAATAGAAAATACCAACTCCAGTAGCTGTCACTAAAAAGCACAGGGCAGGAAGAAGGCTGTATACACGTTTTCAGTTAATGAAAGGGCATTGCACATGGATTCCAGTGACCTTTCCCTGTTGAGTTTCCTTAACCAAGAGGGGAGCGAGCCCTAGCCATCTCTACTTCTGAAAATAACACTATTCCTGAAGGTGAATTTCCTTGATTCTATCATTTTTTCAAGTCTAGTTTTAAGAGTTTGGAGTATGTGAGAAAGCAGATGGCTATAAGGAGGGAGGTGATGCAGAGAAGAAGGGGGAACACAGAGAGGATTTCAGAGAGAGGCTCATGCACACCCACAAAACCTACCACCCTCAGCAGGACTGAGCTCAGTTAGATGGTGCAATGGGAAATGAGACAGGAGGATGTGTTCTTGGTCTCCGAGCGCTTACAGATATACACTCTAAGTGCTAGACTACATGGCTCAGGAGACAAAAGCAGTAGAATTAGTGAGAGAAATTAGCCAGAGAAAACTCAGCATCATCACAGATTGCATTGGTTGCAAAGAACCTAGAGGATGTGAATACAGGGAGAGAAGAACAGTCTAACAGGGAAAGGGGCATAGACAAGAGTCTGGAAGTGGAAGCAAGTATGCTGAATATAAAGGAACATGACAAAGGTAGCCTTGTTCTAGTGGAAGAGGAGCGTGTGTGTGTGTGTGTGTGTGTGTGTGTGTGTGTGTGCATGAGTGCAAGTATGTGTATGTGTATGTGTGTGTACATGTGGTAGGAAAGGGGAGCAGTGGCCATTTAGCAGGACCAGAAAGGGTGATTGCACATTCCAAAGAACCTTGGCTGGGCCAGGTGGTTAAGGGAGCGAGTTTCATATGGTGGACCATGGTTTGAATCCTAGCTCCAGAAGCTTGAAAAAAACACTAGGCACATGTGTATGCCCAAAACCCTGACAAGATAGAGAAACAGAGGAGAAGGGACTCAAGAAGGGCATGGAACATGCCCCATTTCAGGATGCTTTCTCCCTCTCCCTTTTCCCTCCCTTCGTCCCACTCTTTGGCAAGCACACATCCTCTCTGGGAATGAAAAAAGAAAAGCAGAACTTGGTAGCCAAATAGAAAGACTGGCAAGATAGGCCATAGCGAGCCACAGTAAGCCCTTGGGGATCTAGAGAACATGACCTAAGGCAGGCTTCAGGAAGTGTTATCTGACAGTGTGTAAATGTGTAGACTGGAGAGGGAAGAGAGAAGAATGGGTCGTGTGGGCAATCTGGGCTCCCTCCCGTGATGAATTACCTTCTTTTCTCCTACAGCACACCCTCATATTTCCCTTGTCATTGGCTGAAGTCTTCCTCACGCCACATCGCTATCCTTCAAGGAAGACAGGATTCACCATATTGGGTATCAGTGGCCTGGCTTACATCATCAGGTAAGAATTGTTCAGAGAAAGTCAACTTAGGTTTGTCATTCAAGGCTCTGAAGAATATTCCAGAAAAGTGTCCTGCTTTGTTGGAGTCCCTTTGTCTTGGTTTAATGAATATTTAACTCCATTACATTTCCAGGGAAGAAAGCTTTGGATGGTTTGATGTTAATACGGAGGGAAGCCTCACGTGCACGGGCACAAGCAGGTGTGTGCACACACACAGCAAGTCACCATTTCTCATCCTCTCCTGAAGAATTAGTCCTTGCAAAGCTGCGTGTGCTGTTTTCCCAAGAAACTGTTGATCTTTGGTAGCTCTTGCAATTAAAATGTTTAGATGACTGAAAGATCTGAGGCATTCAAATAGATTCTATGTAAAAAGGCATCTAAGGGATGGAGCATGGTAGGCTTGTCCATTTTGGTTGCCTGCATCATTAGAGGCTTGTTACATCAACATCTGGCATGAGTATTTCTAGAGGGCATTTGGACTCTTGCCCCTTATAGGAGCCTGGAGAACAGCCTAGCTGGAGGCATGGGAAATGAATTCAGTAACTGGCCTAGATTTCATTATTTAACCACCTGGTGACACTAATTCTCAGAAATGCTGCCCAGTGCTCTGTAATGAGGGAATGTGTTTTGGCCTTCACCTAGTGACTGGGAAGCCCCCTTTCCCGTCTATTGCTGTCTTATTTAGCACCATGGTTCTGTTCCAGGGCATGCCCAGCTCAGGGACTACAGATTGGAAGCTGCTAGATATCATATCTTCTCCAGTCTATATTTACATGAGCTGTTCAGGGTGACAGTGTTAGCATCACCCCCACACACACTGCCACCCCAATCCCTATACATGGGGAAGTGCTCTGTCCAGAGTGGAAGCCAAGAGAGAGAACACATCCCAAAGGACATGGGGCTGACCAGTGCCTGCCTGGACTTTGCCAGTCTTTGTCTTAGTGCAAATAAACACGGTGCCCAGAACTCAGATGTTGGCTCCTCCCTGGCCCTTCCTCCACTTGTGCTGCACCATCTTGTTTCATACTCTGCCCCCTCTTTCCCCGAGGGCCTAAAGTCTTTCTAGCTGTTCCTGTCTCAAAGAAAGCACTTGGTCAATAAATCTGTCCTGAGGCTCAGTGTTCTGCACTCTTCTCCAGCCTATAGACTCTGCACTTTAACAAAGGATGCTTTAAAAAAACAAAGCTTGAACTGGGAACCTACTGGTAGCTGGTATCTGGAACACTGTGTTGAGAAAGATTCTGAGGCCCTGACCAAAAAAGAGTTGTGTCAATGTCTTTTAAAAAAATGTAAATGTATTCATCCATTTACTCCATGATCAAGAGAGAAAGAGAGACAGTAACTCAACAAGGACCCAATGCCATGATCCAACCCCAGCCCCAGCCAGCCCTGGACCACAGGAACACATGTGCCTGATATACTCAGGGAGGCCCTCCAGATACAAATTCAGGACCCGCCACATGGGGACAGCCCTACAAAGCAGGGTGCCCCACCACAGGCACCACCTTCTGGCCCCAAGCAATGCCTTTCAATAGGATGAAATGGACATTAGTAGGATATATACCATGTATTTACCATCTCTGGCTTAACTCAACAATATAAATCCCCAGAGACAGAGTATCTAGGATTTGGGTTAGGTTAAGAACATATACACATAAAGATATTTCTTTCCATTTTATGTGTTGAAGTACAAGATGGAAGTTTGGTGGTTACGTGCATCAATTCATATGCTTTATTTACTTATTTATTTTTCGGTAGACTTTAATCTTTTGGTAGACTTTTACCTTCTGGTTTCTTGCCAACTATAATTTTTGGAGTTCATATAAGTTAGCACCTTCGACCTACTCACTTTTTCTACCGAAGGACTAGGGAGTTGATCATCAGTTCACATAGCCAACCTTTGCTCTTTTCTTCTTTGGAGACTAAAAGGCCACTGAGCCACAAAGATGAAAAGCAGTGGCCAGAAAGGCTGGGTTTGTCAGTACCTGGGCATGAGGTCCAATGATGCAGGGAATCAGGAGGTTGAGGAAAGGAGGTCACGAGGTGGGCAGGAACAAGGGCATCCTGTCTACTCGGCTGCACATCAGTACGGGGCACTGTGCCAAGGTACTGAGGACACAGTGATGTTCAAAACACTCTGCCTCTCGGGAGAAGTAAGAGAAGCATAAACAGAGAGTGGGAAGACAGGGTGGTAAGACTGCCATGGAGTGGGTGAGCCTAGGGAATTGTGGGTACATGAAGGATGTTCAGGGCTGACTTCTTAAAGGGAAGAGTTATCTAAGCTGAAACCCAAATACTGAACAGGAGTAAGTCCAAAGAGACATGAAAAAGTCCATTCGACGGATGGAACAGTGTCTTCAGGGCTGGAGGAACTGAGGACATGGCTGAGTTGAAGGATAAGGAAAAGCCAGATCATGAATCCACAATAGTGAGTTTGGATTTTTAAACTGAGGGCTTTTCTGGGGAAAGGTTTTAAGCAGAGGAATGCAATAAGGTAGCTGGTATAAGAAAAGTGCTGAGAAAGATGATTCTGGTGGCAGTGGAGAGATTAAACCGAAGAGGAGTGAGGCAGAGAGACCAATTAACGGCAGTAGGATAACTCAGGAGATGTGATGTTGGCCAACTGATGACGACATCGGCCATTCTACAAATAGAACCATGGAGGGTGGGTGGCAGACAGTGATTCAGAGATCCAGCCTTGGAAATCTGAAGCTCCAGAGGTTTAAATGACGTGTCTAAGGTCACGGGGCTGGAGGAAAAAAAATAATAAACTGGCCTATTACCCAGAATATTTGGATATTTCTAAATCCAATGCTCTTTCCAGTGTATTCACATGCCAGGTATTTTTCAGCTCTTGAGATATGCAAAAACCACTCTGCTAAATGCTGGAGGGGTGGGCATGCAAAAAAAGAAAAATGAAAGCTTGGGGGTCAGACAGTGGAGCAATGGTAAAACATGGTGAGCTGTGAAGATGACCCATGTGGGAATGTCTTGGTTCATGTCTGGAGACCTCCCTGAGTACACTGGGCATGTGTGTGTCCACGATCCAGAGCTGACAGAGCCTGGGGGTGGGGGGAGATTATAGTGAAGACCAAATTGGAGTGCTCTCTTTCTCTTTTCCTGCCTCTCCCATGAAAATAAATAAATAAATAAAAGAAACCAACAGCAATTAAAAAAAAAAAAACACTAGTCTTTGTACTCTAAGAACATTTGTGATGGGCCATCAGGAAACACAGTGGTTAAGTAAGCCACTAGACTCTGACATGGCTGGTCTCAGCTTAAGACACAGACTGATGGCTTGAAAATCACACTTGGCACATGTACATGCGTGCCCAAAAATCCCAGGAGGAGAAAGGAGGAGAAGGGTTTGCAGCATGGGCCCCATCTCCCCTCTGAGGTCATTTCTCACTTTCTCTCTCTCTCAAGTTTTTGCCATAGAGAGCTCATGTGCCCTATGGCAAAAACTTAAACAAACAGAAATTGGTAATGTTGTTCCCAGCTCTGTGCTTGGACTGGACCTTACCATGATGGTAACGTAGCAGGGGGGGAGTAAAGGGATGGAGACCCATCACCAAAGGACTGGGACGGGGTGGACCCCAGTGAGGCGCCAAGGTAGTTTGGGGTTTGGTTTTGTTATCAGTCATGAGAAGTATGAAATCAGCACGTTGGTCCATTTGGCTCATTCTTGCTAGAGCAAATGCGACACGCTTATACGAGAGCATTTTATGCTGCTGCAATAACGGAAGCTTCCCTGTCTCTGTTCATTCCTTGTTAGGGGAGCTCACACTCTCTGCCACCTGCTGTCTCCACCCTCATGCCACATGCTGAGGCCCACAGGCCCTTATGGCCACAGATGGCCATCAGAAAGTTCCACAAACTGTGGCTCTCCATGGAGATGTTTTAGGAAAGTACTGATGGGGTAGCTGTTAGGTGTGCCAATTTGGATGGTCAAATGGGTAAATGGCATAGCAGGAGTGAGGTAAAAAATGGAAGCCCGGGTCAGAGAGAGCATGAGAAACAAACGTGAGTGGAAAACACAGCAATAGCTCTGAGCTGGAGAAGCATTTCACAGCCGAAACCATGTTACAATAACCTAAAAATAGCCACTGAGACCGTGGGGACTGCCTTCCAGGTGGTGCTTGCTTTTTGTTATTTTTCAGATTGCAAAATTGGAGGGCTGGCCCCTAAGTGGGAAAATAAAGCTTTGCAAAGTAGTAATGACTGCAAATCTCTCATTTCCTTTGGAAAGCATTAGTCACCTACAAATAGGGTAACTCGCTCACTCCTCTCTTCTCTCTCACCCCAAAACACCTCACCTAGCTCTCAGAGGGTGTGGTGAGGAACAAGAAAGCAGAAACATTCTTTCTGCTGGTTTTTATTCATTCTTTTATTGCACAAATATTTCCCCTAACATGGGATGCCCTACTAGGAAAAGCAAAGTCATATTAGGCAAAGGGGGTGTATACCGAGTGAGGGAAGATGAGCCAGGCATACGAATTATAAGAACACAAGCTAGAAAATGATAAAATGTCATTCAACAACATACAAGGAGCCACAGAGAAGGAAGAGGTGGGTACATTCAGCTAAGCAACACAGTCAGGGTGTCCGGAAGGCATGCATCTGGTCTGGGCCCTAAAAGACCAGCATTGTCACAGAGACAACAAATGGAAGCGTTAAGTAATAGGAGTACATCCCAAGGACAAGAGGGTGTGGAACACGTGAGAGCAATGCCAGAACTCCTCTTTATCTGGCCTTATGAGTGGAAGAAGTGAATAGGAGATAACTCTGGCCTCTCATGAAGGCCGTCTTGTAGATGGCAGGTTAGAGAAGGTTAGATGTTGTTGACAACGGGGCACTTACTGTTGCTGTTGTTGTTTGCTAGTTTCTATGGAGCAGAGGCAAGAGTAAGAAGTACTGGGACCAGTGGATGATGTAATGGTTATGTCACTGGATTCCCATGTAGTCAACCACTGTTTGAGTCCTGATTCAGGTGCTTAAAA